AGCCCCAGTGGCTCTGCTGGCTGCAGGAGTGAGGCCTAGGACAGCCCGTGCCAGCAAGGTCTGTGTGCTGCAGGGAGGCTGGCACCCGACGTGGGCAGCCCGACGCCCCGCCACTCCCTCCACCTGCGTGCGCTCCCCGAGCCCAGCTGCTCCAGGGTGGGCTGGGCTCACCTCCCCCCAGAGCCTGCTCTTCTGCAGTGGCTGCCACCAGACTCAGCTTCCACTTGTCTGTCCTTGGACCAGCACCTCTTGAGGGCCTCACCCTTGCCCTTCACGTGCCTGGTGAAGAAAGGGGGACCCCCCCCCGCTCCAGCCCCCAGTCTCACTACAGGGCTCCACTCGGGAAGCTTTAGAATTCCTTAAAATCCGAGCACCTGATTGGCCCAGCCAGACATACACCCCAATGCACCCGCTGCTCTGCGACAATCATTTGTAAAAACGTGTAACAGATTCTTTAGATCAAATATGCTCAAGTAGCAACTGTATCACTCTTTCCATCTAGAAAAAAATTTCTTTCAGAGATATATGGCCACAGGAAGTTTTGCGTATTTAACTCCAGGGTATATGCATATTTTTATTGGAGAGAAATATAGTTGAATGACAATAAAAGACTTTCACACCTAAAAACAGGGGAATACAATTCTGGAGGGGAATGCAACGGAAATGCGATTTCAGGGTGCCAAAGGAGCGAAGCAGAATTTCAGCTGCATCGAAAGGTCGCACACAGGGAAGGACAGGTGGCCCCAGGGGACACGCTGCTCCCACACCCCTGCCACAGCCAGAGGGTCAGAGCACGTCCCAAGCAAAGGAGTTTTTCTTCATCCCATGCTCCTAAGCGCGGCAGCGGGGTAGGGCAGTGGCACGCTGACAGCCCAGCAGGCCTCTGCCCATCGGTCGCAGCCGGGGAGGCCAGCAGGGTCTCCTTCCCCCCCCCAGCAAGCTCGCTCCTCGTGCGCTGCTGGCGGGAGCCTGGCTCAGGTCCTGGTTCTGCAGCACGCTGGCTGTGTGTGGCCCCGGCCCCGAGCCGTGGCTTCCTGGGTGTGGCTATGGCAACACCCTCAGGTACAAGCCCCCGCCTGACCCCCCAGAGAGGCTCCTGAGACCCGGGACCCCAGCTCAGCCCCCTGAGCCCACAGCAGGGGCGCCCCCTGCCATAGCCGAGGATGCGCCTGCGGCTTGGCCCTGAGGTGGTCACTCTGGCGGAGCTGGGGTCCCACTGTTCCCACATGACTCCAGGGGGTGCCACGTGCTCTGGGCCCCGTCTGCTCTCTGAATCAAGTTGGTTTTGGAACGAGCCATCAGCAAAATATGTGATGTGGCTCCCCTCCCCGCACCCCGCTCTACAGCCAGGGGACAAAGGCGGGGAGCTGGGACACTGGGGCCAGGTGCTCTAGGGTCAAGAGGGCCAGCATCCGGAGGAGGCGGGTGGAGGGTGGGCACCCCCAGCTCACTCCCACCCTGTGACCAGGGGCCTGAGTCCCTTTGCACGGCCATTCCCACACGGGTGACCACCTCGGCCCTCACCCCTGCCCCGTCGGGGCACCTCCTGCACCCTGGGTGCTGCGCACCCGTCACGTTCACGGCTCCGTCACAGTCCGCTTGGCTGGAGAACTGCCTTGGGAGGGTCCACCCCGAGTGGTTCAGTTCATCCCCGCTCCCCCCACCAGGCCGCCCCCTCCTCGGGTTTGCCGAATCAGACCCAATTCAGACGGGGCTTCGGGCTGCGGGTCAGGACAGCCCTGGCCGGGCCCCGCCCACCTATCACCCTCGGAGACCCCTGCAAGCTGAGTGCGTGGGGCGGGGCTCTACAGGTGTCCCCAGGAGCTTCTGCCCCGCCAGGCAACCACAGCCCGGAGGCCAGTGATCTGTCCACACCTCTTTCCTTGTAGCCCAGTCCCCCTGTGACACCAAAGAGTGTCAAAACGGCGGCCAGTGCCAGGCAGAGAACGGCTCTGCGGTGTGCGTGTGCCAGGCTGGGTACACGGGGGCAGCCTGCGAGACGGGTGAGTCGCTTGCCTGGGGTCGGGCGGGGCTCCCACCTGTGGCCAGATGCTGGTGCAGGGTGGTCACAGCCTGGCTCAAGCCGAGCGCCCCTCTGCTGCCCCCAGAGGTGGACGAGTGCAGCTCTGGCCCCTGCCTGAATGGAGGCTCCTGTGTGGACCTGGTGGGGAACTACACCTGCGTGTGCGCAGAGCCCTTCGAGGGACCTCGCTGCGAGACAGGTAACTGGCCAGGTGCCCACAGCCCTCTGTGGGTGACGACGGTCATGCGCAGTGGTCACTGCCATAGCCACTCTCCCCCTCTCCTCCCTCACTGTCCGGCTCCGCCCCACTCTGCCTCTGCTCTCCTCCCTCCTCCCAGCCCTTCCTGCTCCAGCTTCCTGCCGAGCTGCGGACCACAGGGAGAACAGAAAGCTCGAGGCCAGGGCTCTGGCCACACAACATGCTGTGTGAGGCTGAGCAATCTCTTGCCCTTTCTGGGCCTTGGTTTCCGTGTGTAAAATGCAGCGGTCGATGACAAAATTCCCAAAGCCCCTCTCCCAGCGTGGGTGATTCTTGTCTTCTTAACATCCTTCCTCCACTCCAGAACCCCCACCCTGCGAGGGGAGAGCTGTGGGACTCAGAACCTTTACTACGTGTGACGAAATCTGCTGTTTTCTACTCTGTTTCATATTGTTGTAAGTGCTGATTATGACGTGGTGGATCAATGAAGCGGCCAACCAGAGATTAGAACCCACAGTATAAAAGCAGGGCTTTGTGTATGACCCGCGGCCAAGCTCCAGGGCCTCGCACGGTGCCGATGGCCGTGGACGCAGCCTGGGCAGCTTCTCCCCAGGGAGATCCGCAGACAAACTGTTCAGATTCATTCTGAGTTAAATGATTAAGGAGGAAATTACATTTTACCCCTAAGCCAGACACAGATGGACACCGGGTCCTCCACTGAGTGGGCGGCCCTGTGCCGAGGGGTCTGCCACGCAAAGGGGCAGGATGGCAGCTTCCCGACTGGCTGCTTTAAAGTCACTGTTCTGTGTCACAGCCCACCTTGCCCAGGTTGTCACCTAAATAGCAGTATGTTTCTCCAAACTCACGTCAGGAAACAGGGGAGTGGTTTCAAAAGACTTTTGCAAGGAAACACTGTTTCATACAGAGTAATGATGCAAGTGGAAGTGAAATGAGAGACAACAGACACTTCCAGACCAGTTCGTTAACCACATTGCAAGGTACACGCACTGACGGTCTGCTTAGATCCGATAAGAAGTTGGCCCAAAATAGGAGATTACTATAAAAAAGAGTATTGGCTGGGCGTGTAATCCTAGCACTCTGGGAGGCCGAGGTGGAAGGATCGCTTGAGGCCGAGGATTCGAGAGCAGCCTGAGTGAGACCCCATCTCTACAAAAATTAGGAAAAATTAGCCAAGCGTGGTGGCACGTGCCTGTAGTCCCAGCTGCACGGGAGGCTAAGGCAGGAGAGTCACTTGAACTCAGGAGTTTGAGGTTGCTGTGAGCTACGATGACACCACGGCACTCTAGCCTGGGTGACCGAGCAGAATCCTGTCTCCATCCAAAAACAAACAGAAACAAACGAAAAACAAAAACCACTAAACAAACAAACAAAAAAGACTAATCTTCTGCTTCTGGACAAGAATAATTAACTGCTCTGGGAGTTTCCCTCTTGCTGTCAACACCTCGCAAACCAGACAAACGTATGAAAGAGATGAGGTGAGCCCGACCACTGCCCGCGGGCTCTGCCCAGGGGCGGGAAGAACCGGAGCAAAGCAGTCCTGCGGGTCGAGGAGGCAGGTTTGAGCTGAGTGGCTAGAACTGGGGGGCAGAACACCAGAGAGTGGGACAGGAAGGCACTGCTGAGGGGGGAGGACAACAGCAAGAGGGACTCGTGACTCTGGCGCAGTATTATCTGGGTGGGGTGAAATCCACAAAGCTGGTGAAAGAACCACGGGAAAGCAGGAAGTCAGAGAATTCCTGGTGCTCAGACAGGGATGGGAATAATTCGCCTCCTCAGCAGCCAGCGTGGAGACCGTTCTTCGTACCCGGGGCCGGTGTGGAGTGGAGTCCTCAGCAGGGTGTCACCTAGGTGGGGATGCGTAAGTGCTGAACTGAAGACTAATCCGGACCTGCCCTAACGAGTCTTACAAGAAAGTCTGAAAGGCTCAGACTGGTTCCGAGTCATTTAACCACGTGCCAGAATAGAATCCTGTGCTGCTTACCAGAGTGTGACAGCAATGTCACAGCGCCTAGGACTCCAGAATACCCACTCAAAAATTGTCAGGCCCACAAAGAAGTAAAATGTAACCCACAGCCAGGAGAAAAACAGATCAAAATAAATAGACACCTGAAATGACAGAGGTGATAGAATTAGCAGATACAAATGTTTAATCACCTACTATAAATACGCTCCACATACTCAAGACTGTTGAGGGAAAAAATAGTGAAAAGTAGAAGATTTTTTAAAAATTTGTAGAAATGAAAAATATATCTCAGTTTTTAAAATACATGGATAGTATTAACAGGAGGTTTAGAT